GGTGGCTTCACAGGTGAATTTTACCAAACATTCAACAACTAATTAACACCTATCCTAACAAAACTATTGCAAAAAATTCAAGAGGAGGAAAAGCTCCCAAGTTCATTTTACGAGGCCAGCATTACCCTAATTACAAAACAATTACCAAAAAAACCCCAAAAAACTATAGGCTGATATCCCTGATAAACATAAAAATCCTCAACAAAGTATTAGCAAACTGAATACAGCAATACATTTAAAAGATCATACACCATGATCAAGTGGAATTTATTCCTGGGATGCAATGTTGGTTCAATATCCACAAATCAATTAATGTGATACACCACACAAAATGAAAGAAAAAATATCATATGATCATATCAATAGATGCAGAAAAAGTGTTTGACAAAAATCCACCATTCATTTATGATAAAAACTCTCAGCAAAGTGGGAATAGAGGGAACATACCTCACCATAATGAAGACCATATACAATAAATGCATAGCTAACATCATACTCAATGGAGAAAAGCTAATAGAGTTTTCCTTAAATTCAGGAAAAAACAATGATGTCCACTTTGACCACTTTTATTCAAAATACTACTGGAAGTCCTAGTCACAGCAATCAGATGATAAAAGTAAATAAAAGGCATCCAAATTGGAAAGGAAGATTTAAACTGTCATTATTTGCAGATGACATGATCTATATATAGAGAACCCCAAAGAGTCCACCAAAAAACTATTAGAACTGATGAATGAATTTATTAGAGTAGCAGGATACAAAATTAATATTCAGAAATCGGTTCCTTTTTTTGTAGGATGCATATTATTTATTTATTTTTATTAGTTTCAGGTGTACAAAGCAATGTAATAGTTACACATTTAAACCCCTCATAACGTGATATCCCACCCCCGAACCTACTACCTCTGACATCGTATATAGCTGTTACAATACCATCAACTATCTTCTCTGTGTTGTACTCCACACCTTGTGACTATATATACCTATATATTTAGTTATAGTTGACATTCAGTAGTATTCTACTTCAGCTTCAGGTGTATAGCACATTCCTCAGGCACCTACTCAGTTTGTGACGTGATCCCTCTGATAAGCCCAGTGCCCATCTGGCACCTTACATGATCTTTACAACATTGTTGATTATATTCCCCATTCTGTATTAACTACCAATTTGTATTTCTTAATGCCTTCACCTTTTTCACCCTGCCCCAACCCCATTCCCTTCCATCACCCTGATATATCTAGTACCTATCTGGCACCATACCTAGTTATTACAATATTATTCACTATATTCCTTATGCTATACCTTACATCCCCATGACTACTGTGTAACAACCAATTTGTTCTTCCTAATCCCTTCCACTTTCACCCATCCTTAACACCCCTTCCATCTCAAAGAAGTCCCTCTAAGATTCCTTGTAATAATGGTTTGGTGGTGATGAACTCCTTCAGCTTTTTCTTGTCTGGAAATCTCCTTATCTGTCCTTCAATTCTAAATGGCAGCCTTGCTGGGTAGAGCAATCTTGGTTGTATGTCGTTGCTTTTCATCACTTGGAATATTTCCTGCCACTCCCTTCTTGCCTGCAAAGTTTCTGTTGAGAAATCATTTGACAGTCTTATGGGGTCTCCCTTGTAGCTAACTAACTGCTTTTCTCTTGCTGCTTTTAAGTTTCTCTGTATTTAACCTTTGGCATTTTAATTATGATGTGTCTTGGTGTTGGCCTCTTCGGGTTTATCTTATTTTGGAC